GCACGTGTATGGAATTGAGTATATGTGATTGATTACATACTCTTTATTGGCTATTCAAGGATTATGTGTAAGTAAAAGGTTTTGAAGAAAAGAATAAAATTTAGAACGAAGCACACAAAGCTGCTCCTGCTTGACAGTTTTCGCTGAGCCCACGGCAGGAAGAGGTCAGCTCGAGTTGCCCATGTGCCCAGAAACCCATGTCTGTCACCCTCAGTCACCCTTTGGAGTGGCTGATGCTGTCACCATTGGAGGCAACCACCGAGTGATCCATGAATACTGAATATCCCGTGTGCCCCTGCACCTGCCCTGTCTGCCCGTTCCAGCATCCTAATGGCTTCAGGAAGGCTGCATGGAGTTAAGTGATTTGCAATCCAGAGCCCAAATACCCGAGTGTGTCAGTCCCTCCCTCTGGCCCCTGGCATCCATGCGGAGTTTGTAAGTCTTGTTCAAATTTGCACAAGAACTTCCTATAGAATAAGTGATCTCCAGCTGTACAAGGTGGGGACACACAGCCAACCTTAATACGGCAGCTGTGGCACACACGCAAACATTCAACATCTGTTGGTTTTTTTTCCTAAGATAATTACAGAGCATGTTTGTTTCTTTCTTAAAACCCTATAAAACCCCATTTGTTTTCTTGCTCACTGGCTTTCTTTTTTTGTGATTTGCCCACCTTTGAGTAGCATTCCATAATCAGAAATTAAAGGCCACTTTTGGAGAATAAATATAAATTCTTATGACAAGAATCTTCTCTTTGCCAAACAATGCATTGCTGATGTATGAAAATCACACAATAATGCAATCAGCTTGGAAGCCAATATTGGAGAAGAGCTCCAGAGGAACCTGTGTATGCTCCCCAACTGAAAAGGCAAATATGTTTAGAGACCCAACACCCCCCTGCAGTGACACGGGACTCTCAGCTGGCAGGGAGACTGGAAGGGAGACACGGCTCGTGTGAGCCTCGGCAGTACATCTCCTCTGCTGGCAGCGATGCTGAGAGAGCTGTCTGATGCACACTAGGAAAGATTTTGGGTTCAATTTTGGGCTGAACTCTGCTCAAAGCGATGCAATCGTCCACCCATCTTTCAGAGCATGAGCTGAACTGGGCCAGTTACTGAGCAGAGCACCAGAACAGCCCATTTCATCCCAGCTATACCTTTGTCAGGGACAATGCTCTTGATTTGCTTGAAACAGCAGCTCTGTGCCAAGCACAGAGAGGGTGAAGGCTTTTCTGGGAGGTCAGTAGCTGTTACTGGCATTCCCAACAGCATAGCCTCAGGGCACCTTGTCGAGCATCTGACTGCCCGATATCATGAATGTTTGGAGGCCGTGGAACTGTTCAAAGAGGGGATGTCGGAGAGACAATTCATTACAAACCTTTGACACTGGTGAGCACCAGTCACGGCACCGGGACGCAGTGCTTGGTTTCAACAGCAACAGTTCTGCAAAAGCTTCAGGCACAGCAGGTCAGCTGTAGACATGATACACTGGTATGTGGGCTGACTTCTCAAGCACGCTTGGGAGCAGTTGCTTCCATGGGCAAAGGCTGTGTTCAGACCCCGCTGCCGACCCTGGGACAAGGGGCTTCCTGCTGCCAGGAGCTGCAGCATCGCAGGGGCTGTCACCGTGGCGGGGGGAACGGTCGCTCCTTTCCCATCCCAGTTTCCTTTACAGTGTGAAGAGCAGAGCTTCACTGGGACTGGAACTCATTTTCCATTGGACACTTTTCACTTTTTTCTCGTACACTAAGTTATTTTGTTCTCAGATCAGTGGGAGGGCACTTGACTGGGTCAGTTCCTCAGCCCTCTGACCCCTTTTGATGAGCAGTGCAATGGACCCATGGAATTTCACTTCTCCTCGTGTTCCCATCATTAAACTAGCAGTCATTGAGTGGCAGCCCTCACTTCAGTGTCTCTTACTTTTCCTGCAGTCAGTCATTGTGCTATGAAATTGGAGACTGTGAGACTAAAACTAAAAAAAAAAAAAGGAAAAAAAAAAGTCTGGGAATGCTCCTGTGTGTTTATTTTGCTTGCAGTACTCCAAATAAAACAGACTATTCATTTGTGGCTGCTTGCAGACTTTGCAAAGGGACTAGTAGCCAGTACTTGGTTTGTGAGCATCTCCTTCCCCGGCTGTGTGCCCAGCAGCCGTGCCTCTGGCCTCCCGGCACCGCTCTCCCCAGCACACTGCCGTCAGCCTGGCATGGCACATCGGGCCCTTGAGCAACCACCTGGTTCTGAGCAGGACCAACGGTAGCAGGCGTCCTCCCCGGCAAGGGAAATTCGCTTTTGCAGTGAGTTTCAAAGGAGTGCAAGTCTTACGATGGCAAATTCTGCCATGGGATGTGGCCCTGTGGTGGTCCTCCTTATTTTGCTTGGTAATAATTTAAACTTCTCTGTAAGTTATTATTATACGATTAAGAGTAGCATGGAAAGTGAGGATCAAGAACTTTTAACTAATCCTGGGATGGCATTTGTGCCAGGCTCAGCTCCTTTTCAGAGTTACAGTCCTTCTCCAGATGAAAGGGAAATGTTTGCACTTGTACGGTATGTCTCGTTTCCATTACTGTGACCAATCATCCCGAGTAGCTGCACTGAGGCGATGACAAACACACAGAGGTTTGATTATCCCCTCACTGAGGGATGTGGCAAAATCTCAGCATTTAAAATACAAGTGTAGGGGGTTTGAGCCATCTAGGCATGGGTGTTACTCACTAGCATGAGACTCAGTTTTCCAGTAATGCAAGTGACAGCCAGTATTGAGTGGAAATTGATTATCTCTGTGAAGCAAGGATTAAAAATAGAAGCTTTGTGTCAAACCCCACATATGTTTTGACTAAAACCTAGATAACAAGAAGAATGCATGAAAGACAGAGATTAGGCAGAGAACAGCAAAACCCAACAATCCAGGATTAAGGAAGAAAAAGATTTGAGTGGGTTAGTGCAATTAATGATTGTCAAGTGCCATCCTTGAATCCAGCAGGGACTGCTGCAGCTTCTTCTGGGTGCGTCTTGCGTTGCAGCTGCTTTGATCTGCAAACCTGCAAGAGACACTTCTAACTCATGGCACTAAACACCTGAGGCTCAGTTCAGCTCAGGTCAAGGTTCAGGGGGCTTGCGGTCAGTTTTTGAACCATTCACCACTGTAAGTCAATTATTTTGGATGATTAGAAACTCTTTCCTATAATAAAGCCCGGAATATTCCCAGAAAGGATGGTTTGTCTTGAAAAGGGCCATCCTCAGCCGTGTCCCTTGGTAGAAGTCTGCAGCACTCTTCATGCCTGGAAAGCTAATGCAGTTTTACGACCCTTTTGTTTCAATGAACTATAAGCACTTGAAATATGTTTTTTCCCTCCTGTGGCTAGAGCTCTGGGGTTCCTCAAGGGATGTGCATTGACTGTCCCAGCACAAGCGAGGACTGCAGAGTTTATGGCCTAAGGAGCGTCTGCTCCAAATCACGCAGTCTGCCCTTGCAGTGCCTCATACCATGTCAGGGTCTGTTATTATCACGTTTTACAGCATCCGCTGTGTTTACTGCAGCTGTCTAAAGTCGCATAACACACAATCACTGCTTTCACAAGAGGAAGTATTTCACCAGACTTACAAATAAAATAATTTTATTGAGTTTCTGCTTCTATAGCATGTGGCACATAAAGAGAAGACACGAGGTGTGATGACAAATTATGTATTTGTCCTTCACTGAACAAAGGGTTCATCTTACCCAGAAAAACAATGCAAACAAATGCCCTTCTCTGCTAGTCATGACGTTCAGCGAAGGCTGATGCTGTGACATTTAGGAAAATGGAAACTGAAGTTGACCTGAAGATTGTGGCTCATGTATGCGGTTCTGCTAACCTTGTGTGAGGAGAAATGGCTGCCTTGCTAGCAAATTTTGTTTTAATTTGAAACCAAAATATTTGCACTTACTTAATTTAATTACAGTGGACTAAACAGCATTAATGTACTTACTAAGTCAGAGAAAAATCCATGACGAGAAAGTGTCCAAAATCTGCAGATGTCTGATAAAAATTAGCTGATTTAGCTGCATTTGCAAAGCTAGTACTTGGGATTTTATAACTTCATTTTTGACCTCTGCAGCCAAGGAACCAGCAAAGTTTTATTTTTCAAAACTTGATCTTCCTTCAGGGTTTGGGCCTGAGAAACTTTTTTCATTAAGGAAGTGCTGATAGTTCAAGAAAAAGGTTTGGAAGCTTTTTTCAGTATTGGTTGCGTTTCTATATTTCCCTTTATCCTTTTGTTCACTCTTTATTACTAGGATCATATAAGAAATAAAGATCTAGTGTTCATGCAAGGATGTCACCTGTTTCTGTAACATCCTTCCCCCTTTACGTCCGAACCCCACTTGTGGCAGCGCAGTTCTCTCCACTCCACTCCAGACAACGTGGTGATGTGTGGGGGGAATAAGCAGTAGCTGCAAAGGGATCTTAAGAAACTGTTCATGCATGTAGCTCTAGGGAGACTTCAAAAACAGGGAAAAAAACATTTTTTTCCCCCTGAGGAATCCATGGAATTTTTTATATATGACAAAAGGAATTTGGGATACACACTACACAATCTTCTAACAGCTCATGAACACCTCCACATGAACAGGAAACCTGCTGGATTTGGGCTGACCACGAGAGTAAAGAGCTGCTCACAGATCAGAAGAGGTCTCTCGTGTCTTTCACTGCTGCTCTTCCAAGCAGGCGCAGAGGGTGCAGCAGGGCCAGTACAGATGTCCCCTCTCCTGGCCACCTGTGCTGTCTGTAGACACTCAGAGCATCTTTGCACTTTTCCAGCCTTCGTACACACTAAAATCTATTTTACATGCTATTTCACAGACCAAACTTCCAGCTCATGACTCAGTCCACCTTCTTCTTCTGGAAACAGATCCATATAGTAAAAGCCACAAAAAAAAACATCACCTTGGGAGACATGTTAAAGACATAGTTGACCACAAAACAGGTTTCTGCCTTTACTTACGCAGGAACAACTAGACTGGAAAGTCTCGCTGCTGCCACTGCTACTCAGCAACAAATTACTGAGACTGTAGGCCAAGTGCAAAAATAACTTGGTTTAGTCCCATTTTGCTCGCTGCGCTCTATATCATGGTGTGGGTGATGGTTTAGGCGAGGGACAGGAACCCTGGCTGTCAAAGCTCGCTGCCCGGCCTTGCCACTGGTGAGAGAAAAAAAGAAAGCAAGTCTAAGCAAACAGGAGAGATTATTTGAAATTCTTCACATCCCTTTACTGCGTTGCCTATCTCCTGTTCTGCAGTATTCTCATTTGCTCTACAGCATGTTTCAACTTATTGAATGCCTGCATTTAACCACTCAGGAAGAATTACTGAACAATTTATTGCTTTGTAAATCAATTCACAATCGTGAGGATTGCTCACAAAAAAAAGAAAAATAAACAGTATATGTGTGTGCTTCGAAGACAAAGTTTGCTCTCAGTTTAGCTTTCTGTTCTTTCCTGGTTTAGTGCTGTGGCCCTTTTGTTTTAGAAATACTGCCTAATTGCAAAATTACTTGAGTCTTTCCAGTCTGGTCATTTTACTCCACAGAAGCTATGTCCACAGTGGCAGAGACATTTCTCAAAGTGAAAATCAGATCAGAGAGCCAGTGGATGTAGCAAACATTTTTTTTCCATACTTATGGGATCATAAATTATTAGTCATTTGCCTTGGGGGCTATTATTACAATTCAAAACCATTACTCTGCAAGCTTTTGAGTACTTGCCCATCTCACCATCTCGTTTTATTAAATTCAAATGACAGATGATAGACATGTCCCAGAGACAACAGGAGGCATAGTATTTCCACTGCTTCGTACTCCCCCCGGATCAATTCCCTCCTCTCCTACATAAGCATAACCTCTTTGCTGGTTGACACTAATGCTTTAGCATGTAGGAATTTCACTTCTGTGGGTGAAAACTCATTTGGCAAATCAAACTTCACCCTTGCTTTGGCAAAGGCACTTCAAATGAAATGCAACTGAGAATGAGAGAAGAGGATGGCTGCATGGTGCTCACAGGAAGGCTGAGCAAGCCACACAACCGTTTGCAGATGCTGTCAGTGTCAGCAATAACAAAGGGCCTGGGTCCGGGGCAGCCGTGCCCCCTGCCTGCTCCTGCTCCTGCTCCTGCTCCTGGTCTGGAGGTGCTTCCCCCCTGCAGCCTGGGGCCTCCCCGGCTGCTGCGTGCTGGGGGGTGCAACCCTGCAGGTACCCCTCGGTGTCGGTCGGTGACACGCCACGAGGTCTGCTGTCCACGGGACGGCTGCTCATCAGCGCTGGCCCTTTCTGGGTCAGGTCTGCCCATGCAGCACACAGAGCACGCTCATGTCCATTTGAAGCCAGCTGGCAGAGGCTGTGCTTTATGGTTCGCTTCACAAGTCAGCATTTTGATGGTTATAAAGTAGGGGCAGAGATAGGGTCAAGAATTTGGCCAATTTCCTTCCCCAAAGAGACCAGTCAGTGTAAAGTAACTCACCATGTAGGTTTGCATTATACAGACTACATTTCATCAGGGCTGAGCAGAAATGAATGAATGAAGAAGATGGAAAGTTTGTCCTTCCAAACAGGCTACCTTAAGATAAGAAAACAGTTTCTTCTGTGTTTCTCATGTCAGATGTATTTGCTAAAATTCCTGAGGAAATGATAATATGGATACAACTTCCCCATGAGCATTACCAGTAAAACAGCAGATAAGCAGAAATTACAATAGGTATGGGCTCTTTGCAGAGTCCTCAGCATGCATTATTCTGCCTGCAGTTACAGTGGCAACATTTGCTACTCCTAAAATGTGATGAAAACTCTTCCAAGAGTGGGTTCAAGTGACCAGTGCGCCATGAGGAACCTGGAGATATTTTTCCTTCATTAAATTAGAAAAGGTGAACCATCCATTGTGCAATTAACAGTCAGAAACTAGAAACAGTTCAATGAAAGTCAAACATGCCCAAAAATCTGCAAGAGGCTGGTTTTGCATATCTTTAAAGATAAATGGTTGTTCTTCATTATGGGCATGACTTAGCTCTCAGCAAAGTTATCAGTTTTTATCTGGAGAAATGTTTTAAATAAATGCTCCCATGCTGAATGTCAGAAGTACTTGGAAACATCAAAGACCCATTTTGCATTGCACTGATGATGCTACTCCATGATATCAGACAGACTTTGTCTTTCACAGATAATAGAGAATTTGCCAATTTTCAGAAGTCCCCTTCAAAGTCTGGAAAGACATGCTATAATTTTATATTTCTTTATATAGACACATCACTTAACCTGGCTGATGGATGTTTTGAGAAACGGTGAAGAAACGGCAATGGGTGGGATAGCTGAAGCACACCTGGGAGGCTGAGGCCATGGCACCAGGTGCCAGTGGGACCTCGGGGCTGAAAAGTGTAAACAGTTTTGTGCTGTGGACGAGAGTTTCTTGTCAGAGTAACTTCAAAATGCAACGGCAAGTGGGATTCTCATCTTCTCACAAACTCTCCTAAATGGCTGTGTGAGGAGAATAGTACTTATAAGCCTGTAATTAATGATTCATTTGTACATGTTCTCTTTTTTAATGATGACGGTCATTAAAGAAGTGCTGTCATTACAGTTTGTTACTCACTGTTGATAAATATGGAGCAACCAAAGACGTGAAATGTAACAGGAGCAAGTTTCCCTAAAGGCTCCAGCAATGAAAGAGAGGAAAGGGCAACACTGGCTCACAAAGAGCCCGAGTCACGCTGCCAACCCAGAAATGAGGTTTCTGGGCCATGTTAGCACAACAGTGTGGCTGGTGGAACAGGCCCAATGCTACCCAGGGTCCTCGTGCTGGGCAGTCAAGGAACCATGCCTGCAACCAGGAGGAGGTCAGTGGCCTGGCCCGGGGAGTGCAGCCCCAAGGACACCAGCATCCGTCCGTCCATCCTGCACCACCGTGGCAGGGAGCTGGGGGCCAGGGCCAGTCCGTCCTCCTGGTGCAACAGGCCTCTGGTGATAGTTTTCCTGGTGACTTCACCAGAACCTGTGATTCTGAGCTGTGGTCAAAATATGGTGGAAACACCTTTTTTTTGGCCAGAGTTTTTTCAAGGCATACTGGGCAGGGCAGTATGTGTCTAGGCTAGCAAAGAAATTCCAGGTTCCCCACTCTTTTCTTTGCCCATCTGCAGTCCTGAGCTGTGTGGGGAGAGGGCCAGGGCATCTAACTGCGAAGTGGCACAGGGGAGACGGCAGCAGGCACTGAGCAGCTCTGTGCTCCTGGGTTAACAGCTTCAGCCATCCATTGTTCAATTTATACATTCAAAAAGACAATTCAATCCTAGCTTTCTTGCTTTCAGTTTAGGATCAAGCAGTCAATCAGGACAGACACTGATGTACAGCAGAGGCCATTACTAATCACTAGAGCAAACACAGAGACAATCATGAGGATCAACTAGAAAGCAAATGCTCCATTTGCTGGTGCCTGGAGGCAAACGCTCTTGAAGATGAAGATGAAGATGACCACTCAGGATGCTGGCACAGCCTGAGCTCACCCCCATGAAGACATGAGGGTGAAAAAGGGGTGAAGGGTCAGCAGCTTCTCCCCCAGCATCTGTGGGGGGCAGATAGACCAGGTAGCTGGCAGCCCCCGGGACCTGGACCGACAGAGCTGGCAGGCGGCTCTGCCACAGCTCTCGGCCACGACCCTCGGCCCCCACCACCCAGCGCACACCCCCTTGGCCTGGACAGCTTCTGAGCTGATGGGAAAGCACACAAAGCCCAAATTGCTTTTCAAAAAATGCACAAACACATATGGAAAAGATGACGCAATTACTTGTAACCAACAAATAACATTTCTCATTAATTTCTCTCCAGGAGCCCGTGCCTTTTCTGTTTGGGTTTTTCTAAGCTGCACTACAGATTTGCAGACAGCAGTGCTAAAACTTAAAAGGGCAAATAAATACAGGGACCATTTGCTTGCTGGCTCTGTGCACTGGCTTGTGGCAGAAATACCAGAACAGATGATCAGAGGCTTTTTTTCTTTTAAGCAGAGCTCCTGACCTGTGCACTAGGGGGTGAAATGATTCACTCGGGTTTTTTTTTCCAAAGTCTTGGGGGCTCAGCAGTGGTTTTCAAATTGTATTTTAGAAGGTGAGTCATCTTACATGCCTGCCTTTGTTTCTCTGAGTTTCGTCACAATAATTATGTCTTTTTTTTTTTTTCCTATTGATTATCAAAAACTTTACAGGAGTCTTTCTTTCAAACTCCCACCTGCATCTGAAAGATAGTGTAGTAAAGTCATATAAATTTCAAACTGGAGAAGGAACTCCTGCCCCTGAGTCAGACGTGGCAGCTGCTATCATGCTGTGAGGTGCTACAGATGATACGGACGTTGAGCTAACTGATCAAATGATAGATCGTTAAGCATTTATGCTGAAACCCAGCGGTTGCCGATCCCTAGCTCTCCGTGGCAGTGTGAGATAGCATATGTTGCCTGCTCAAACAGCTATGGCTCATGTGTATGATGCTAGTGTTTTAGCATGGAAAGGCTAATGAAAGCCTGGTACTGCTCACCACCCAAAGGCAATATTACTATTATACACAAATTGCGCATCAATTTAATTCTGTTTTGATTTACACCAATTCTGCACAGCTGACCTGGGCGGTTACTCCTGATTTACAGTGGTGCAATATGAGATCATGAAACGCCTTGTATGCAAGCGAGTACAAATTTTCAGATTTCTGTTATCTGATATATGTATCTCCACTGTGACTTAAACTAAAATATTAATTGCCAGGTTTTCCCACTGGGTGTAATCGACCTGGGTCCGGGAAGTGAGGATATTCCTCTGATAAACCCTGGCTCTAGACAAGGCCCTATGGCCACGTTTCATCTGCGATAGAGAAATGCCCACGAAGGGATGCAGCAGTAATGAAAACCGCTGCAGAGCTCTGCTCGGGCGGCTCGCCTCACCTCGCACGGCTGCTGCTTACAAATGCTTGGAGAAAAACCTGCAGAAGAAGCAGACCTGCCTCTGGGATGAGCACATCTGAATTTCAGAAACCAGCCTGATGAATATGAGCTGGGAGAGGGAGCGCTGAGCACAAACTGCATTCTTGTTAGAGGAAAGAGCAGATTTCAAAGAAACGTAGAGTTTCATGCATAGTAATTCAGACTACTGTGGAGGATCATCAAGCCTTGTATCTGCCTTCCAGTAAAGCTCAGTATCTGAACTTCAAGGAGAAAAATAAGATGCTTTTTGTTATGTACTTAGTCTGCAGCTTTGAGGGACAATGCCTCCTTAGCCCCAGATAGAGTGGGAGGTTTTATTGCCTTTATTATACCATCACTGACCACAAATTCTGGCTTTCTTTTCAATACCTGAAGTGTCAGTAGCATGCGTGCCATTTTCTACATCTCTCTCCTCCAGAATTTATGACCTAAATCGGGCAAAAACCGCAGAGCTCTATAGGAGCATGAGAAAATGGAGTGTGAGGAGGAAGAAAATGCTACAGATGGTCAAAAAGGTACCTAGGCATTTCACCCCTATTTTATCATCTGGGGCTGCATCAAGTGAATCTCTTTCTCTGGAGATGCTTAGAGCAATTACATTTGTTCTATTTATTCTCCCTCAAAGACTTGAAGATGAGTCAACAGAAAAATCTTTTAGGATGAAAAAATTGAAACTTGAAATAGGCAATATCCCTGGTCAATTTGTTCTGCAATCAGAGCAACATTCTCTTTCCTTACTGCTCTCAATCTCTAATTAAAAACAAAACAAAACAAAACAACAACCCTATACAGTAACAGTCACATCTGTAAATACAGTCCCTTTCATTCTTGCTTTCAAGCTCAAGGAGCTATTTTGAGACAATACAGAGATGCTTGTTTTCTAGAGTATTTCTGGTGAGAAAATTCCCTCAGCTCATGTCATAAAATCCCAAGTGAGAGTAGAAGCTCTCTGAAAGCCTTGAACCAGCTCGCTCATGCACAACACGTGTTAAAAGGAAAGAATAACTCCACACACCTCTTTGAAAGACTTCTTTACCTCCACTAATGGATGCCAGTGCGCGATGGGCTTGCGTGGGTATGCTAGCATCTCATTCCAGTGATCTCTGCCCAGTCCTTCAGCATTGACCCCCACACGGCAAACCCCAATAATCTCGTTGTGACCCACTCTGAAGAATAATAGAAAAGCAACACAATTATCTCTTGCTTAGACTGCCTGTACACCGTCTAACCAAGACTTCTGACCTCATGTTATGGGAGTGCCGCGAGGCATGGTGCTAGTGAACATGGGCTGTCCTATCTGCACGACGACAGTCAGATCTTGTCTGCTACTGTCAGCGTACACAGCCCCCAGCACAGCGAGGCACTGCCATCACCAGAAATAATTATAACAAGGATTTGAACTGTAGATCAGTCCAGATACAGAATCTGGAAGGATGTGTGATGTAGTGGTGTACAGTAAGAATAAGTACAAGTTCAGTAATGGATAATTCATACAGCAATTGCTGCTCAGAGTGAGACCATTTGCTTTCTAAAACAGGATGATGGTTTGCAGGACAAGCAAATGGCAAAAGAGAACACAGTACTCACTCAAGAAAATGCCATAAAGCAAAGGACCAGCTTTACCATACTTACTGTTCTAGCATGCAATTTCCCATAACCAGAAATATCAATGTCACTTTAACAATAAATCACCAGAGACAGACTGATGCCACAGTGCTGTGCAATCAAGGCCCTGATACTAAGGAAAAGGGCTATGGAGGAGGAAAACCCGCTCCCAATGGGATGTTTTCCCCTCCAGCTCTCCAGAGCCTTGCACCTACCGATCGTAATCCATGACGGAGATAAGCAGACTGACTTGATCCATGTTCTCTGGGGGAATGTCAAAGATTATTGCTTCATTGTAAGTGGGATTAAGTGTGTTTTTCTTTATGGTGGTTTTCTTCTTTTTCAGTCTTCGCCCATCACAGAGCAAAGACACTTTGACGTATGGATCTAGAGAGGAAGAGATAGGAAAAAGCCTTCTGTTTATGGAGGTTTATTTTGTTACCATCATAATATAGAAGCAGCGTTATCAAAGGATGAGCTGTAAGTTACTATGAGCCAAAGGCACTACTCAAATTGACTTTTAGAAAAAGGGATGTCTGTGTACTAGTTGAATCCACCATTTCTCATACTGGTGTGAGTGCTGACGTGAGGTTCAGGCACTGGAGAGCCAGCACTGCAGACTTCTTGGAAGAAAAAATCAGCCATTTTCATCAGTTTTTCTGTGATAAGGATTTGGAAGCGTAAGAAGGCCCCATCTCAAACCAAGAGCCAATATTCTTCAGAAGATGATAATGGGCACTGAGCACTCAGGCATTCTAGCTTGCATTAATTGCATGACCACAGATAGCAAACTCAGTGCCTTCTCTGAAGCAAAACTGTAACTTTTTCAAAATTTGCCTAAGAGAGCAAAATGTAATGCAGCATTTTGACATTCCAAACAGGCAGAGGAGGTTATTTTACAGGGATCAGTTCCTGCACTGCTACCAAAACTCAATGTAAACTAACATATTGTATAGCAGAGTTACAGTGAGTAGAGGGGAATTTTAAAACCCATTTTCCCAACGTCAGAGATCAGTAGAAAGAAAAGTTAGCTCTGTTTCACATGCTTTCCACTAGCTGCTCATGGCAGAATGCCCTCAAGTTACAGTCAGCTTCTGTTTGCTCTAACAGCTGCCCAGGTGATTTCAGTGCATTTTCAAGTAACAGTAAATGTGCGACGTATTATTACAGAAACGTCTAGCTGGCTTCATCTGAAGTGTTAATTCTCAGACATTTCATATGGCATCAAGATTCAGCTAGGTAGAAATGTTTTCTGCAGAGATCTTCTACTGCATTGTTAATGCTTTTTATACAAGTCGTCAATGAGATTCAAATACTATGGTGTTGATCTCTGGAAAATAAACTGCTTTTTGTGTTGAAATCCAGAATTGGTGTACGCTGAATTTGCAAGCCAACTCTTCGGAACTGTGAATGCATACAGTCTTCAGGTGACTTTGATCCTAATGTTTGAGTACTGGCCACTGTACAGAGGAATGTATATTCACCTGAGATTTACCCAGGTGGCCCGCAATCCTTCCCTGATCTTGGGGTGAAATTGTTGATTCTGGTTGTAAGGTGTTGTCTGATGGAAAACTCCCTAGTCACATAAAACTGCTAGGGTCAATATCTGCAATAGATCTGAAGTGTCCAACCTAGGAGATGGATCAGAGCTTTGACCCTGCAAAACCTTCAGTGGGGATGGGAAACTGCTGGCAGTCTCCTTGGGTAGTATATTCATGTATATAGTCTAAAGAGTTTAAAAGATAATTTTACTTTTAAAATTTTGTTCATACTTAAAACATGGACAAAGCTTTGTCAAGTGTTTCCATGATGATACAGCCTTGGCATCAAAAGATGTATGCCCACTATCCATTGAGGCTACCTTGAGGGAGGAGGAAGAAGTGTGGCTGCAATGCAGTCCTCCTCACTCAGCCATCAAGCACCTACCTGAGTAACCAGTGATATCCATAGCTTTGAGATTCCTGCATTTAATGACTGTTAAGGTGAGGCGACCTGCAGTTGGTAAATAACAAAGGGAAAACATGATCTCTCCCAGGTCGACGCTTTCCTTTAATAAAACAGAGAACACATTATATTGGATGTGCAAGAACCAGCTAGACTGCCTCCACCCTCCACCACAACGTTTCGTGCAGGACCCATGCAGCACTCGCACTGAAACAGGCTTTTCTCTATTCTGTCATATTCAAGTGAATGACGCTTTGCTATATGGCAGTGCTTCCAATGTATCCCAACATTATTTGGCTAAAAATGAATATAGGGAACTGGAAAAAAGTGTGTGTCCAAATGTTATATCTTCAAATCATAGTTAAGGATAATCTTCCACAGCCTCAGTGGGGTATGTGCTTCCTATTGCAACATTACAGCTAATGCGCTCCTCTTTTTCTGCTCCACAGCTAACACAGAAGTGAAATGATATCCAACACCAAATGAAGGCCATTAAGGAAATTATATTAGTATCAAGTTTTGCTTGAATGTACAGTATATATCTTCTAGTGCCAAGTGTGTGACACTAACATCTATTTCCTCAAACAGAGGAATGTAATACAGACGCAGAGCGAGATCACAGAAAGGTAAGACCTTAACATGCAGCGGTGCCGTGTTCCCTGGTTGTACACTGCAACAAATTCAACGAGTGACTTTCTAGTACAGCTGGTGTCATCGATTCAGTAATAGAGGTTTACGGACTTTGTTGATGCCTAACATTTCAGCAGAGAATGCAGACGTCTCCGAGTCACACGATGATTTTCTCTGAAGTTGAGCATGAGTTACTAGATAGTGGTAGAGCAGGGGGTCATAGCTTTAAAACAGAAGAGAAGCATGAAGGGCCCCATTTAGTGGCAACTGAGCTCTCAGGTTGGGACCACCAACCCCTTTGAGCCGCCTTCAGAAACCTAACAAAAGCAGCATAAGGCATGCATATTTATGTACATAAATAGTGAATTAACCAGCAGATGGCACTTAGAAACATTTGGTAGTTTCTGGATTACACAGAGGCCAATACAATTTACCCTTTTAGTGCCCCATAAAACAGCTTTTACGTATCACTTTTGGTAACTTTTGTACATGCAGCATTATCTACTATATCTCCTAAAAGCCCGTTCCACCATTGCCTTGCTCATGGGAATTCAGGAAAAAAAAATAAACAAACCAAAAGAATTATCTAAACTAGAAAGCATTATCATCTGAAGTCAGCAGAAAGATTTCCAAACACCTTCCAAAAATGGATTTAAAAAAAAAAATAAAAATCTTATTTTGTACATACAGATCCCACATCTGTAGAGCAAACCACCCTTTTATTTTTGGAAACAGAGTGTTTGATTCATTTCAATGTGATATAATGATCTACTGAAAAGAAATTGTAGCTGTTAGTAGTAGAGTAATGGAACTAGAAAGACAAGTAAATGCAGTAGGCACTTAAAGCTTTGCTAAATGTTAGGAAAATAGATCTTGTTGATAGATGAGATTTTTGCCAACTGATTTCCTTCTTGTTCTCTGGTAAGGCAAAGATTAGATATTTATTCCACTTAGATGTGCAGAATGCTAATGAACGTTATATAAAAGTCTTGATTCTTGACAAGACTTCACTTGACTAGCAAGTAAATTGAAAATCTTCTCAAGCATAGAGTGTACAAAAGAAACAGTGGCAGCCAGATGTTTTCTGGACAGAACAATATATGACTAGACTTGTAAGTATCTAAACAAACATTGTCTCAGAAGGCACTACTTGCTGGTAAATAAGAGTTTAATACTCTCACCCGCTCAGAGGTCCCACTCTGCTCTCTCGCTCGCCTTAATGAACCAATAGCATCCTAAACCGCTTTCCTTCCAATGTGACAAAATGATCTCGAGTCACAGCCTCATTGTCAGTGACCAGTAATGAAATATGTGGAAGCATTTACTGAGTTACTATTCCTCTACCTTTAGTACTTCTTGATCTGTCTACTGGGAGCTAAATTCCTTGCATCACAAAACATTACTAAAGGTACCTTATTAAGGTAGCAGGATCATTTTCATTACACACGAAAGAGCATTTAGAGCCCCTGCAGCTTCTAACTCTTGACTGCATTTCAGCCATGGCCCCTTGAATGTAACGGGTGCCCCCAAGTCAGGCTGCTGTTGTGGAGGAAGAGCAGCAATGGACAAGACCACTGAGCGCTCCGAAACGTTGGACAAGACCACTGAGCACTCCGAAACATCTGGCAGTTTTACCTCTGGTGTCGCCTGCACCCTGAGAGCTGAGCCGAGCCACGGTTCTTGCTGCCTGATTCCAACGTGACCAGTTTTAAGAGGACAGGGAGCTCAGTATTTTATGGAGCCTCATTTACTTACAGTGTCTTAAAATGGCCACTCAAAAATTATGATTCGCTTTTTAAAAACATAGCACTTCTTGTGTTCTTGCTACCTTTCAAGGTATTCTTCCTCTTTTAAGGTTAATTGCTTTACATAACAAAGAGCCTGAATAAATAACTCTGCACTGAGGAGGCACTTCATAACGAGTGTCTGGAACCTGCCACAAACACTGCCACTGCATCAGAACTAAGCTTGAGGACTGGGTTTGTACCTTTTCACTTAAATGTCTCCAGCTCCAGTCAGACACTGCAGCTACCGGTCTTAGCTATAGACTTTACTGACAATAGAAAATAATTTAAAATGAACATTCTGAAATTATGATTAGAAATTATTGTTCTGTTCCCAAAGAAATGACCACGTGAATCTCACTGTGTGCTGGCTGTACTGGACACTATATCCGCTGCACAGTGCAACAGCAGTTGGCATCCAGACGACACAATGGGCTGGGTCTGTTCTTTCATACGTTCTTTGGTCTGTGTTGGTTTGGGAGGGAGGAGGGCAGGAAACCTTGGACACAGATGTCAAAAGAGAGCAGTCCTATATGAGACCGCGCGAGCACCCTCTGGGCATGATCTCATCTTCTATTCCTCTCCTTGCACTGAGAGGACCTGTTCAGGATATAAAACTAGCATAAATTGTCTTTGACCTCATTGTATTAGGTCAAGAGATTTTTCTTTGCAACCATAAATACAAGAGAGTAAAATGTGTCCTGTGGGTACATTATTTTCTTTCAGATTATAGACATTGAGACATTTCCAAAATTCATATCAGTACCTCTTAGGAAATAATGGAAGCTCTGAATCAATAACCTTTGCAGACTTGAAACCAAAAATGTTTCATTGATTCACAAGCTGTACAATCATTAATTAAGTAGTTGAGTGCTAGCTATTTGAATAGCTTATATCATTGCTTAAGTGCATTCCTATCTTCTTACCCACACGATTGATCTAATGTATTATTAGACACCCAGAGCTTTCCTTGGGTTTTATGAAAACTGTATTTACTTTTCTCATTTTTGATTAAACAGAAATGTCCTTGAGTGTGTTACAACTGTCTGAGATGTACTAATATTGGCCCATTCCCAAAGAATGGCACAGAGAGAATGAGGAGATGGAGCCAAGCGCGGCACTCGACATTTCTGTGGGAGCTCTGCAAGGCTGCTACAGAATGCGTCTTGGGCATGATGTTCTCTCTGCTCCTCTCACACCTTCTTTGGAGGCTTTTCCCTCAAGCATCCTTCTGTTGATGTCTCTCCACCTGTTTTTGTGGTGGTGTTTTTTTCTCATTGAATTAATTTATGTAGTCAGCTGGGAAAATGTCCACTATTTCTTGCAGAACCATACCAGCAAAACACAGAACATACACATGCTAAAAACTCCATAACCTCCTCCTGCAGCTTCGTGTTTTATGTGGTTTTCCTTTAGTGAGACCCAGTGTTACCCCTTCCCAGTTTCACTCCTGCCCACAGGTCTTTTCCCTCCAAACTCTCCAGGCTTACCACACTCTTTGTGTGCTGATCATATAGCAAGGAGAGGGAAACTCCCTGCCACCACACAAATGACTGCACCCCAGGATTCAACACCACTAATTTGAAAGTTCATTCCCCAATACAGAAAGCAGCAGAGCAAAGGTAGGAGAGGAGGTACGAGGGAAGTTGTGGGACAGATTTTTGCAAGTCATGGGGTTATGCCAGTCACTAGGAAAGACTTGACACGGCCCATGCTTTCTGCCACAAAGATGCGGACATTTCATATTCCAATTTCAGAAATATCAAAAATCATGACTGACTTGGTGTCCAACTGCAAAACAGTTCAGACATTTGTTTGCCCTCAGAACCAGCCAAGTCCTCCCGGAAGGACAGTGGAGAAGCAGACAGCTATTATGCAGGGCTTAATGTCATTGCTTCTGCACTCAGTGATCAATGTGAGAAGGTAGGTTCTCCCGTGAGCTACTTACAACACAAACTGGCTGGGACTTTTCCTTCTCTGATGCTTGGCTTCACTTTCAGAGGAAGTTCAACAGAACTACTAGAAGACCCACATCAAGCTCTGGAAGAGTTGCCAGCAACACATCAGACAACGGTCTTGGTAGAGTAAAGCCCAGTACCTCCAAGGAGTTGGTAGTGACCCTCCAGAGCTGTTTCTTACTGTTATCATGTGCATGCGACAGACAACCAGAACCTGAGACCCTTCACATGTTGACGTGGGGCCAGATATGGAACATAGTGAAACCCTCAGTTGTTTTATAGCAAACCTGTTATCAGTGTGACTTGTTGTGGGTGAGATAACAGCAAGTCACTAAGTAAGGGGATGAAGCTCCAGTAAACCAGGATTCTGGTAAAGCTGACAGGCTTCTGAGTACAACAGCCTTCGCCACTCCTGCGTGTGATGGCTATGGGTCCCCAGGGCTAATGGTACCATCTGCAGGGAGGCAATAAACTCATCAGCTGTGAGTTGTGCCGGACTTACAGTCAGAAAGAGAATCCCAACCCATCCTGCCGCGGAGCCATTCACCGCACACTTGATACCTGTCCTCTGCACGCACAGGTACCACGCACTACAACATGGCACTGTGCTGCAAATGGTCCCAGGGCAGGGACAACCCTCCAAAGCAGATACTCACCGTCGTTGCGTACTGAATGTCCTTCCAGATGGAAGTCTCCCGGGAAAGGTCTGAGGCCTCAAACAGGTTCTCCAAGATTACTTCTCCTATCATATCATGCCTGGAGAACCTGTCAAAGTCAAAGACGCTCAAATGGAGCTTCCTGCTTGCCAGCTCCTCATGGGGCACAGGGAAGTGGAAGGACTCATCGAAGGTGGGATTCAGAGTCTTCCTGTGGACTCGTGTCTGGAACTTGCGCTTTCTGTCAGGCAGGAGGTAGATCTTCACATAGGGATCTGAGCTGCCGCAGAAGTCTTTGGCTGGCAAGTCAAAAGCCCTGAGAATTCGAACAGTCAGCGTCTCATTCTCATAGTCGTACTTGAGAGTGAAATTAATTTTCCCACAGGTCTTTGCTGCCTCTTTTTTGAGGTCTTCGGAGTCAACAGATTTTTGCTTATAGAGTTCGGGCTTAATGCGACCAATGCTGGTCGGTTGCTCAGCCACAGCCGGTGGGTCCACGCCATAGTCCATGCTGGATACATGCATTTGCCGAGGAAGGTGCCTTTTGAAGGAGATGTGCCTGCAGGAGGAAGACATGACAGCTGTTATCGGTTTCCAACGACATTTCTCTCCTTTTTCTCCTGTGGACTACTAATGCTAGGAAAGCAGGGAAAGTACAAGAAAGTACAAGGTGCTCCTGACCTCTGTGCAGAAACCACGTACATTATGGAAATGGACACTGAAGGGAACACCTCCAGTGGTCAAAGGATCCTATCCAGCAAATTTCCTAACTTTCAGAGCATTTGCAGTGAGCTGCATTTTTTCACCTGTTACACAAGTAACAGCCCACAGCTAAATATGAGAGACCCAACAACTCCGTTACTAAGCCATAGACAACCCAGTGTGGTTTTTTTTCCCACCCTCAGTCTATACACTTCCAAGATACTGGCACTAAGTTTTCCTCAGGCAAAAAAAATCCTTTTTGAAGTGAGAGAATCACAACCAGTTCAGAAAGTTAGGTTTTATTCTGGTGTTGCTGCTTTCAAACTTCTCCAACAGACTCTCATCGGAAACCAACAGATAATTCTTGACAGGGAGGAATGCACAGCCTCATCTAGAAGCTGTCTTTTGCCTCGAGCTACCCTTCAGCACAAGAGAAACTGTGTGTAAGCAAAGTTTTATTTAAGCGAAGCATAAAAGCTTTCTGTGGACTCATAGCATTAGTTCAGATTATCTGGTGTTTACAAGAGCGGTATATGGAGTTATTTAACCATACTAAGAACTTGTACAGCCACGTGGTGTTCTCCACGAGGAGACCTCACTTCTCCTTGGCAGGTTCCTCAAAGGCATTTTGGCCTGGGCGAGGCTGGGCTGAGAGAGAGATCCCAGACTGCTGAGGTTGTTCCCCAGGGTGCCCATGGCTGGCTGCCTGCCTGTGGTTCATGCTGGGCTTTTTTGCTTGAGGAAGTGGGTTTGAAACCTTCCCACATACAACCAAGTCCCACTTTTGTTTGTCCTAATTCAGACAGGCTGAGCTTTTGCTTTCTCCTCCATTGGAAAGGCGTAATAAAAGCAGAATGAGCGTGTGCATGACAGAGAGGCAATCAGCTGTCCAAAAAACGGTGCAGTTAAATAAAAGACTATGTGGCACAATTGCAGGTGGCACCATGTTGATTTTAACTCCAGCTTCTTCAAACAGAAGGCTGTGATCGGTGCCTTATTAATTCTGCAATACTGCAGCCAATTTTCTGAGCAATGTCTGTTTTCGCAGTTGCACTCCCTCACACATCGCGGGCACGGCCAACAAAGCAAGCAGAAGTGCTGGGGCACAGCCAGGACCCTGCGATCACCCTTTCCTGTCCCAGTTTCACAGCATTCTGCGTCAAGGAAAAGGTACCGTATTTCTCAGTATTCTTGCCGAGAAGGTGTCTCGGGGTTCATAAAGCCTTATCCTGATTTATTGAGTATGATGTTGACATCTCTGTCCCTGGCTGAGGCAGAGACACACAGTGAGCACAAGCACTGGGCACAGCTGGTTCTAAGCTTGTGCAGTGAGCGACAGGCCAATTCTGTTTATCTAATTGTTTCTGCTAGGAGCCACAACAACAAGAGAGAGCAAAAAGGTCTAATTCTGTCTGACAAGCATACCATCATTTATACTTCAGCCTGCCTCTCATGTTGGAACAATATTAAAATGGCCAAAGCATGCTGATGGCTTGACACAATGAGGTCAAGTCACAGTAATAGGGCTTGAATCCTTGATTTTTTTAAAAATACCCACAGTAAGCCAGTCTTCACACAATAATTGGTTAATAACCAGTCTTTGGAAAGTAATCCAGCATGTAGATGGAGTGCTTTCTTTAGCATCCCTGAAGGTATCCAAACCTCAGGCTCCATCAAATGCTTCTCCCGCTCTGCCAGCTGCCTCGAGGAGCTGCATCCCTGCAGAGCACTGGGTCCCACTCACCTGGTAGAAGACGCAGGCTCCGTTGTTTGCCTCTGGATCCGTGTGCGTCGTATGATGTGGTCTTTCATGGACATCTGGACCTCTGCAGGGATGTCTGGCGATGTGTGGCTGATCTTCACTGCTGCCTCCAGGAAACTTATGGCACCTGTCTCCTTGAGCTTGTCTGCCATGTTCTCCTTATTGCAGCCTGCCTCACTTTGCAAGATGGCCAGGTTAGAAGAAATGGCCTTGTTCCTCCACGGAACCCAGCACAGCTTCCAAAAGAGAAACAGAAAAACTGCCACCAGGGCCAGTCCACAGACAACAACTATCACTGCAAGGAGGCTGACGGAGAGCTCTACAGGGGGAGAGAAGGCAATAGTGACAAGGAGAGGGGAGGAACGGGAAAGGAGAAAAGAAAAGAAAAATGGTGAGAAAGCCATAAGTAAAGGGAAGAAATGGTCCAAACTGACCTATATCATGACTAATGGAGAGCTCTTAGCAGGTTCCGCAAGGAAGAGTCAAACCCAAGTGAGCATCCCCTGACGGGTTCAGATCCGCTTCCTGCCCCAGACACACCTGGGGAGAAATGGGTGTTTCCAGATGGCCAGAGCTGTAAAGTTTTATACTGTGATGCTTAGACTGGCTATAAAATATCATCCATCATTTGTTTTGTGGCACTGGGAAACTTCTGAGTCTGAAATCGAGAAGAATTGCAGGATTGCAGAAACAAGCTCCAGCACTCTACTGGCAGAAACTACCTTTTTGCTTCAGGTGTTCAGAGACTATATAAAAAAAAAAAATAAAAAAAAATCTATCTACCAC